TAGGGCGTGTGGCGTGGCGTGTATTGAGTGCAACCAGCCTTTTTCCACAAATGATGCCATCCTGAGCCCACTACAAGTGGTGGAAACTTGCATTCGCCATGCTTCAAGCCTCGCCACCGTCGCACTGCCTATCGTTTGCAGGGACCATGACAGTACGTTTTGTCACTGCGCCGGCCTACTCCCATCAACGGCTGCCCATCCTGTTCTGGCAACGATTGGTGGGAAACGACAGGCGCCGTGCTAAAACATACGTATGGAGCAAGGCCCGCACCCGACCCTCCATTGAGCACCAATCCTGTACGTTGGGCAGACTTCTGAGTCGCCAGAAGTCGTCTTCAAAATCGCTCGCTTTGTTCCGATTCCCGAACTTCCGCAAGTCCATCATTCATGACTTTTGATCTTTCAGCTAGATTCAATGTATGACGTACGGGATCGTCTAACAACAGACCTCACAGAAAAACAGAGCATGCTGATGGAGGTGGTCGTCAGAGCAGAAGATGCGATTGTCATCGATGACCTGTAGGTCGTTCTGCTGTCACTTAACATATTTATTCCTCTCTTTTTTTCGAAAAATTTATTTTTAAGAGACCTCGTCCGCAAGTACTACACACGACTCCGCAATATGGATCGCAGCGTTCGACAAGCATTTCTTCTTCGGGCGAACAATCACGAGAGATTCGTTGAATCTCTGCGAAGACTACATAAGATCATTGAACAAGCCGCCAAGTTACGATGTGAGTGATGCTGTGAGTGGAGGAAGGGGGGGGGGTGGAGCATTACTAGTCACGTTACGAGGGGTGGCGTACGCAACACGCGCACCAGGACCCAAACGTCTCCACATGGCAGCGGCTAGTCTACCTCCTATGTCTACTGGTACTGCGATGCCGCGACTGGGAGGTAAAGCCACCTAGGATATAGTGTAGGACATTAAAGACCATTTCTGAGGTCAAGTGTAACAGGTGTCAGGTGCTCAGTCGTGAGCCAGAAGCCCAACAAAAACTCATCAGTAGAGAAAGAAGCGAGAAAACGTTTGAGCATACCTTGAGCACAGACTCTCCTCTCCTAGCAGTGTGGCCGGCGCCTTGGACGAAGCCATCATGAGGACAAGCCCAATCAGCAGGATTCTAGGTGCAACCAATTCACGCAAGGGCATAGGAAGTTGCTCTACGACGCTGGCAGGCAACGCTACGTGCGCACGCGATTCCGCTTGTGAGCCGTTCTCTTGCAGAGTGAAAGTAATCGCGGTTGCAATGGCTGCAATACTCACGTGTCTGCCTAGCTCCGGCATCTGGCGAGTGAAGAAAAGTGGTATATTCCCTGCTGTGGAGTGCGGACAACGATGGCCAAATGGCACGAGGGCATTTGCTGATATTCACTTGATCGCGAATGCCTTTGAGGCAGCTGGTACGATAAACCCTAAGACGAGTAGGGATTAATAAGCGCCTGTCAGGATCGGAACTTTCGGCCGATGGGCCCGCCCTACCCACAAAAGGACGACGCAACTGATGCTGCGTATTGCTTCAATTATCTTAATTTAAAATGAAGTGAAGGGATTGGCATGAAGTGGCCGCGGTGGCTGCATGGTTATATATGAGTACATATGTGCAGCCGTTATTGGCAAGTTGCCTGCAAAAAACTCTCCGAAATCGTTTTTCGAATCGCCAAAAAACGGCTTTTCTTCGTAGGTTTTTGACCGTTTCACTTCGTTTTTTCGCCATTTTCCCACTATATAGCGCCCTGCTAGCATTTTAGGCCGAGTACCAAATTATCGTGCCGACTGCCTTTAAGTACGCGTTGCGCCCATGTGGGATAGGCGGCGTTGCAAACGTCCCCTGCGCAACATTCGCACCTAATCCAGCTAACGCGGGAGTGCTGCAGTATATCACACCAACCGGGAAATAATAATTAATTTGTGTGAGTTTCCGCAACATCGATGTCATTTTCCACACCCCTCCAACCATATCATTCCAAACTTATGGCCCTCGAAATGTGATTGTAAAGCGTGATCTCGCGCTGCTGATAGAGAGCTAAAAAGTGGAACCATTCAACTTCGTGAAGGGCATTGTCCCTACGTTCTATGCCTGACGACGCGACCGCGCGCGGCAACTACTGCATTTTGAAGGGAGCTGTATGAAATCATCTTTACCTTTTTTTTTCGAAATTGAGCGTTTCGAGGACACTCTAGGTAAAATTCGAGTGATCGATTTGAATCCAAGTAAAATTGGCCACCTGAGCAGGTCTGTAGCAGACCAATACTATTGAAACACCACAACTTGATTCCCATTCTAAAATTACCGGTGATTCAGTACCAGTACAAATTAGGAATTTTAATCAATAAATTCTTATTCAGGTGGTGAACCCAGCCGAAAGATCGTCTCCGCCTGTCGAGAGGCAATCTCGGACGACAATAAGAGCATTCTGGCGAAATACTTGAAGTTTGGCGTTTGAAACGTC